AAGCAGCCCTCAGCTGTATGGATGCTCTTACTCTTTTCCAAAATTCTTTAAGAGAATTTTCATTTATCTCTAAGATTCTGGAGCAGCAAATTGTAGAAAAAAATTGCAGGTGTATGAGCAACAAGAAAATCATCAGCAGCATGCAGCATGATGTTGCCAAGGGAAAGTACGCTTGACCAACTAATTAACTTGTATGGTGAAGTGGCACAGTAAACAAGAGGAGAGCAGTGGACATTGTCTACCAGGACTTCAGGAAGGCCTTTGAAATCATTTTCCCTAGGATTCTCAGTGTGTCATTGATGCCAAAAAGGCTAAAGTTATGCTGGGCTGCATAAGGAGTGTGACCAGCAGGTGGTCACATGTGGTTTACTCAGCACTGGTGAAGAACCTCGAATACTGGGTCCAGTTCTGGACTCCCCAGTACAGTCCAGGATGGACATACTGGAGAGTATCCAATAAGGAACTGTGGAGATAAAGACTGAAATAGCTCTCCTATGAGGAAAGGCTGAAAGAGCTGGGACTGGTCAGCCTAGAGAACAGAAGGCCCAGGGAGAATCACATCACTGCCTACAAATATTTGAAGGGAATGCTGAAGGATGGGGATATGCTCTTGTCGGTGGTGCCCTGCTCTAGGACAAGAAGCAGTGAACACAAATCAGAGCACAGGGGATTCTTTGAACATCAGGAAGCACTTTCTATGCTGTATGGGTGACAAAGCACCCAGAATGGTTGTAGCCCCACTCCTTGCAGACCTTTGAAAGCTGTCTGGAGGTGGTCCAGGGCACTCTGCTCTGGGAGTGCCCTATTTAAGCAGAGGTTGAACCAGACAGACCCAGAGGTCCCTGCCAACCTCAGTCACTCTACGATTCTGTGAAATAAAGGGCACTGAAGGACTTGCACTGATAGTCCAGTAACATTGATTTCCCATGAAATCCAGAAGAGAAATGTAAGCACTTCCTGGATCTTGGTGGCGTATCACTTTTCACTACCAACTCTATCTGGCCATGCCTCTTCACTGGTACTTCTCAAACTGGGAAAAAGAAAAAGCAAATAATAATAAAAAAGAAGCTATTTTAAGTGCTATATTCCTATTGCTGCATCTGCTGGCAGAAATGGAAGAAGCAATATTATTTTACCATCTAAAAAATGTAATTTGCAACACGAGGTAAGCTGCAACTTACCTGTGCGTGGATCAACACAGCATAGAAGCAGAATCACCTGTAGAATTAACAACTTCAAGCTGATTGAGCAGAATTAACAACTTCAAGCTGATTGAGCTGGACCTGAAATTTCAGCCTCTTGCTCCTGTGGTTGACATTCCTGTTGCTGCTGCATGGCTTATCTCAATTTCCTTCTCTATAAAATCAACTGCTTACTATTTTACTACATCACAGTTCTGTCTCACAGGAAAGAGCTTCAGAAGTACAAAGTGTGTTATTTTGATGAATGATGGGTAATTAAGGAAAAAGGTCATTGTAAAGTCTGACTAAGTTTAAGGCTAAGAGCACTTACCATTTTCTGCCTTTAAATAAAAAGCAACTCCTCCAGCAGGAATTTTGGTTTTAGTTGCATAGTTGCAAATATATGGCTAAAGGATATAATCTCAGCTCTGCAACCAACCTTTTGCATGACCTTGGGCAAGACACGTTTTAGCTGTCTCCCCCTCTCTTTGCACGGCTGTTCAGATAACATTTTGAGGCAACAACTCTCATCTTTCATATAATATTAGCACATCAAGCTTACATTTTGACAACAATAATTTAAAACTTAACATTCCCTGTGAGCACATGGCTCATCAGGTTTCTTTAGTCTGACACTAAGTGGGCAAGTGATGAACTGACAGATGAAACTCAGCATAGGCTAAATACAGAACAGTGCACATAAGAAAATACAGTTGTAACCTATGTTCATAATGATGGGCTCTGAAATAGCTGTTACCACTCAGGAATGAAACCTGGAGGTTATAAACACTAAAAATGACAAAGGCATCAAGTCAGTGCTTCCCTGCTTTTAAAATAACAATCGCTGTCACAATTTAAAAAAGTAAAAAGGCAGCAAATGGTTCTGCCACGATGCAAATCCCTGTTCTTTAGACTTCAGGGTTGGTAGCACACTACGGACATCTTGTTCAGCTCCTGGCTGACATGTCCTAAATGTCCCTCTCAGCTTGCTGCTAGCATCAGGACGCTGCCAAATCTTCCTTAAGTAGGCATCTAATCTAGATTCTCGGAAGTAATGAACAGTTTGTGCTTAGCCTGAGAGGGGATTCAGTAATTCAGCACCTCAGAGAATCAAAGCCCTTACAAGGTAACACAGAATTAAAGTTTAACTTTAGGAAACCTGGACTGAAAAATATCAAACCTGTTCACTAAAGTAATATAACCAATACTGCACTGCCAATCAGGCAAATATAACAGGCCACCATTCTATTCATTTTCTGTAATCATGATTTTCTAAGGCATCACACAAAATGAAATGAAAATTATTACTGCTCTAGATTACAGTTATGAAGTTATGTTTACAATATACCTTACAGAAAAAAAGGTTGGTGCCTAACTTCAAGTACAAAAAGACAAGGAAACAAGTGCAAGCAGAAGTTCATAGGTGTAACAGAACTCCAAGTGTTGTGGAGCTTTTTGACAGGGTGCTGACAAATTATGGAAGGAAAAAAGGATTCATAAGCAGGAAGAGCTGTCAGTGTTAAATGAAAGGGAATTTGAGAACCTAAAGTCAGTAACAACAGTTTCCAGAGGAGGTAGGAAGTAGAGAATTCAGAAACTATATTTTTTAAAGGCATGCAAGGACCAGTCTTATCTGACAAAGCCTGAGCCAACACATCAACATAGATTAAGTGGAAGAATATGCATTTGCAAAAAAGAGAATACTTTTCTATTAACTACCTTAACTTACTTACAAGTCAACTGTAAGACTTTAAACTAAGGACCATGATATGTTTGACCCTTTTCAGGCTTCCACGTCAGCCTCTGTGTCATTTCCTGCAGCAGCACCTAGAGGCCAACTGCTCACAAACCACACTCCAACATCACTAAACTCTGCTGCACCCAGCAAAATTACTTGCTATAAAGGAACGAAGCTTGAGGTGCAACTAAGGCAACGTACATCTGCTAACACCTCAGGAGGAGGTCAGCTGTCTTAGTGACCCCACGGTACAGATAAATACTTTTTACAGAATATTTGTGTCTCCCCTATGCAGATCACTAAACCAAAAAGCCCCTTTCTCTGTATTTACAGAGGTAAGTGTTAGGCCTTAAACACTGACGATGATCTTTATAACTAAAAGGCACAGAGGTTGCCAATAAAACAATTCTCAGCAAACAGAAAAAGCCTGTACTCAGGAAACAGCTACTCATTCAGAATAGCAGTATTTGCTGAAATAAAAGCCAATTCCTATTTCAAGTTAAGTTCAGATCACAATAAATGGATTACCTTTCCACAGCATGACATACAAATTATTTAACTCTTGTAAGCAAATATATGCTAATTGCTGTTAGCATAATTTCTTCATTTTACTACATAGTAGAAAGGGCTTTAAAGCATATTGCTCAAGGTCAAAGAGAAAACTAATAACAGAGATAATAACAGAATCTGAATTCTGTTATGGCCCCAAGACCTGTGGTTTCAGCATTAGTCAGGCTGGTTCTTCACTTTTGCTGCAGTGAGGTTTTTCTAATGGTGAATTACAGCCACTGCCAACAGTGGAAATGTGCCATAGAAGTGACCACCTTCTTGTGTAACAGGAGACAGTAAGGAAGCTGACACACAGTAGGTAAAATACAAGTTTTTTTTAAAAAAAATTGCTTTCTCTTTTACAGGCAAATGTTTGTACAGAGGTTGTTGGAACACAAGCAGACAAAATAAGCGAGAAACAAGACGAAGGGTTTGTCATATGGATCTGCAGCCAAAACTTAATAAAAAGGCAATAACTGGAGATACTCACAGCACTGATCAACTACAGGTCTATATCCCCTCCCCCAGGTACATGTGTATAACAGGAAAAATACATCCAGCATCAGCTTTTGAACAGCTAAAATGCCCTCAAAGCTCCCTTCCATTTTAACACCTACACAATTTCAGTGGCAACTGTAGATGCAACAGAGCACACAGACAACCACCATCACTGCACAGCCTTCTCTTGCCACCTGTCACATACTGTTCCCAAACAAAAGGTGAACATGAAACCAGAGCAGAGTGCTACATACTATTTTACATCAGACTGAAAAGAGCTGCAGTGTTTAGAAATTTATTGTCATTTCCTCATTTTTCTATGAGAATTTTCTTCCATTGCCTTCTTCTTTGGTGTCAATCAATTAAAAAGTTAGTTACCTACATTAGAAGAATTGAGAATCTGATAGCTGGCCAGATGAAAGAATGAGTTTCTCCATTCTATACACAGTATTTCAATAACTACCTGCAATCAGTTAACACTGGCTTTCTAGCAAAGACTGCCTGACAGTATAGAGCATCTGCTAACAGTCCACTCATTCTGATTCAAATGCCTAAGCTTTTTAATTTCCTTTCTCCTTTCCCTTCCCTCTATTAAACGTGTTTTCTTTGGACTTGGGAAGAAACACAAACCCACTCCTTGTTACTTTAGTCTCCATTCTGGCATAGAAAATATTGTGCTGAAGTAAAAAAAAAAAAAAAAAAAAAAAAAAAAAAAAAACACAACTATCTGCCAACTGCCCAACAACCCCAGATCACTCCCGTGTGAAGGGATGGAGGACTGACAAGCAAGAGAAATATCAGGAAAGAGAAGCATAATAGCACACAGTCCTTTTCTAGAGCTTCCCACTTACTGTGGATGCTGATCAGGAAACTGTGAAGAAGCACCAGAACAAGGAAAACAGGAATACAGACAAAGCATTTCCTCAGCAGTTGGTTTTCAAAATAATGAAGTCATGGATGAAAAGTTCAAAAAACCAAGGATTCCCAGAGCAATAAGCAGAATTGTGCAATTCAAAAACACACAGACGTGAATCTTAATTTCAAAGGGCTTTATATTACAAAAAATGAAGTCACAACGAATGCGAAAAATCCATTCAATGAGGCTTGTTTCCAGTCTGCTAGGAAAGCTACTTTCTCTTCTTTTTTCCCAGCCTACTGCTGAAAACACGATTGCCAAAACAGTGACACCTCGAGCTAGATTTTTAAAATCAAACTTGCTCTGCCAGATCCAGTACTCTGAACTTGTCCAGGTTGTAGAAACAAGCCTTCACCACTCGGCCGCCAAAGTATCTTCCATTTAGATCCACAACAGCTATAATTGCAACAAAAAACAGGTCAGCAAGCAGCAATTCAGTGACTAAAAATTTGAGTCTAATGACTGAGACTTTGATCTCTTTGAGGTGAACACTGAAATTCATACGACACAGTTTAGTAACCTACCTTTAATTGCAGACTCAACCCGTTCAAACTCCAAAAATATTCTTACAGCTTCATCATCAGGGGCACCAGGAATCTGAGAGAAAACCCAAAAACAACAACAAAAAAAAACAACCCAGCAGATCTGATTAGAATAGCAACAAAACCACTGTTCTATGAAGTGCTTTTTCGCAAAAGTAGAATGTAAAATTAAGCCAATATAATTCAATTCTCCAGTTGCCAAAGGGAGGTTGAAGACTGCTGAACTTGGGTCCTGCTTCTCTATGGAAACCTTTCAAATCAGCTAGGGTGAAAAGTTTCAGTAATCTAAACTTATAAGCATCTCAAAGTAAAAGATTAATTTAGCAGAAGGAACTAAAAAAGGTTCCAAAAACACAACACTCAAGGACTTTGCTATTTCTGACATTCAGAGTTTGCACTTTACAAAAATTGGAAACATAGAATCACAACACAACAAAGGACCCTTTGAAATCCTCTAATCTATGCTGCTCCTTCACAGCAGCAGTGTGCCAGTCATTAAAGACAAACGGCCAGTTCACTTTTGGAATAGCCAGAACGGGAGAACGATTCTGTCTTACCTCAAAGATGACACATTTCCCAACCTTGCCATATTTTTCACATTCTTCCTTAGTTTCAACTTCTAGATCTTCATCCACCTCACCTGCACCCACCATATTCTGAAAGTTTAAACAATAAACCTAAGTCATTGGATGCAGCCTGCATAGATAATAATGTAGATAAATCACAGATGCATGCAACTGTGACTATGAATAATTTAAGCTATTGTTTATCAGGTCAAGAATCATTTTGTCACATTCCAGAGCCCAGGCAGTTCCCTAATACTAAGACACTGTGACATGGTCGCTGCATAACCTAAACTAATGTTGATTTACAGTCACAAATTGTATCAAAGGAAAGCATACATTTTCACCACAACACAGAGAGCACCACCTAGGTGCAGTTCAGAATTGTCCAAACTGCACAGAGTAACCGTAACAGGAATGCAGGTTTTAGCATTGAAATCAGTTATGTACGGTGGAAATACCAAGACACAACTTACCCTTAGTAAGACCACTTTAGTTGGGCATTTCAGTATCTCAGTCAATGGATTAGAATCTGCTTTCTTGGTTGCATCTGCTAGGAAGAGAAAAAAAAGTTAATCATGAAACCATTTTAGACTAATGCTCATATGAAGGCTTTAATCAGCTTTTTACTGTTAGCAAACAGTGAAACAAAGGCCATTAAGTATAGTTTTGTACAGGTAGGAAGAGATCTTGTCGCTTCTTGGAAGGACAGTATGCACAAAAATCACTGCTACAAAGATCACAGACAACGTGCTATTTCCTTCAGGGAAATCATTCATGAGTTTAAAACTGCATCAGATCCTCTAAGAATTAAAAACCAGATCTCCTGACTTCCAACACTTGTGTTCAGGCAGAAGTGCTGTTCCAGTAAGTGGAGATGCAAGCAACAGCAGGGAAATGAGGACATTATCTAAAGCACATGATAGGGAAAAAGCCAGCAGGAATACAGCACTGAAGTGAATATACAGATAGAAGGTTACAAACACTAAAGAAGGATGGCTAATAAGGGAGGATGAGCTAAAATAAAATAATTAATAGATCACTTTAAAAGAATGTTATAAAGGGAAGTTTCCACAAAAAAGAGCATGAGGCATTGTTCCAATTAAGCAGAATTTTCTGCTAGAACTAATAGCTAACAAAAATCCAGGAGCTTCCACTGAGCACAAACTATTATTTCCCACTATCACTTTCACAAACTTATTGGTGCAAGACAACATTACCTTTCTCTGTAGCATCTCCAACAATGATCTTGCCACCCCTCTTGCTAGTTTTCTCTACAGAGAGTGCTGTGCTCAGCCCCTGTTCGTGCTTTCCCAGCCCTTGGCCCTCTCTGAAACCATACTTCTGCATGATTTTATGAGCCACTGTCCCTCTGCAAAAAGGAAAGAAAAATCGGTTAGTAAAGGTTTCTTAAAACAGTGTTGTCACTGCACTTCTCCAGAGTGTGCAAGTACTCAAAAGTTGCTCACACTTTTCCAAACACATTCAAGGTTCTAGTAGCAGAGCAAGTCACACATCATGCCAAAGTCCATTTAGTCCAGTTTCTGATCTCTGTCAGTGGCTGGTATCAAAAGCCTGAGAGAAAAGGTGGAACCTAATGTGGAACCATCTGCTTCCCACATTAGATCACATTATACTACCTACTGTTTTGAAGTGTGCATAAGGTCCAAATCACATGGTTTTGCCAGCACTTCCTATGACAAACCTGGATATTCTCAGTATTAATTGACACAGCTCTTCTTTCTGAATTTTCAAGAGCTTACTCAGGTAATAATCTCCAATCTATTAAAAATACCATCTTCATTGGCATTACTTTGGAGCACACAGCTGGCTAAGCCAAGGCATGAAAGAAATGTCATGCTACAGTAATTCACACCACAGTAAATAATCTACACTAAGTCACCTCCATTCACCAAGAGGCATTTAAGATTGCACAGAAAACACTGGATCAGTGACTACATGACATATACAAAGGCCTGGCTACATAATGGTTGAAAGCTGAAACATTAAGCCAGGATAACAGGATAAACAGTAGTCAATTGTATAGACAAAACATTTTCTATAGCAGCACCTCCTTCAATGAAGTGAAGTTCCCAGTGCAGTGCTAAACAGAGGAGGTAGCAATACCTCAATGTGTTCCCCAGTATTACTTCAGTTCCATGGTTTGTTGTTGTTTGATTATTTTTTTTAAACACTGCCCAGAAAAATGACGTTTCTATTGAAAAATGGATTGAAAAAAACTTCTCCAAAAATAAATGCAGTGTAACAGTGTAATAAACTACGCTTTTATGGCTGCATTTCGTCCTGCATCCAGTTTGGATCACATCAAATCTGCACTTCTGCAACACCCAGTATGACTGAGAAGAGAGCACACAGCTAACCATGACACCTTTCAAATGAGGTCTCAGGGCTATTTTTAACTATACATTTGACTTCACTTTGCTACCCACTGTAGAAACACAAGCATCACACACAACAAGGACGCCAGGCAGAAAAGTAAACGGACAGATTTGCAACCACAGCTGCTCCCACACTCGTGCAAATATGCTTTGAATGTCTGAAGAAATGAACTGCAGTTGAAATAGGCACATAACAAAATTAGGACAAGGCTGGAAAAGAAACCTAGTGGAACTGACAAGCCACCTTTGCTTTCCTGCAGACTACATTAGCTTGGATTGTACAACCCATAAACGCTTCATGCAGGAACGTGGCTTCAGAACTTGTCTTGAAAACACAGCTCTCTCAAATGCAGTTCTCTCATTCAAGTCAATCCACTGCTTTTTCTGTATCCTGTCAGTTCTGTCTACTTGCACTCAGGCTAACCATATACACACAATGTGTTATTTACCTTACTGAAAACTATTTTAACTTTCCATTCCTGTCACCTTCTAATGCTTTTTTCCACCAAGTGTAAATATGTCAAACATTTACCCCATGTTAGCAAGGAATGAGTTGCTAGGTCCTGTGGGGCTACGAGGTCTGTCTGGCTCATCGTACACTGGAGGAGGAATGGCTGCTTTGGAAGATGGTGCCCGAGGTCTTGACTCATCTTCGTATGGGAACGATGCTACAGCTGAAGAAAAGAGACATTTGCTTTGTCACTAAAATGTGCTGCATGTTACAAATGCTACAATACGATGCTTTCAATTTCAGCTCATTTAGAGAAAGATCTCTATCACAGAATCACAGGGTTCGAAGGGACCTCAAGGATCATGAATCTCACCTCCCCCCTGCCACAGGCACGGCCACCAACCCTAGATACTAGACCAGGCTGCCCAGGGCCTATACTTGCAAACTGTACCTTTTCTGCTTTATACAAAAACCTCTTTCACATAAACCCAAACCAGAAGAACGTTTCCTATGCACACAGAGCTTTAACACCGCCTTATCTTCTTCCCCTTGCCCCAAGATTTAAACTTAGAGTTATTCTGGATTTTTGTCACAGAACAAATAATGAGTTTACATACACATTGTGCATGTGTAAGTCTGTAGCACATTCATTAACTTCTTACTTATCAAGCTGAGAAAAACATTAAGCAGCCACCTGCACCACAGTGAGTCTATCCAGACAGGGGACAAACAAACCCAACGTTCCATTCATCAGAACACAATTGTGACATTATGTCAATACACACATCTTAGGCCTAAAGGACTGTAAAGAAAGCACACTGTACACTTACACAAAGGAGAAATCAGTCTTCCAAAAAAGAAGCAGCACAACTCAAAATATTTATACAGATCTCTCTGATAATTTCTGAACTGACACAGAATGGGAAAGAGACACACATCATCCAGATTAGATTACTATCTTCCACTGAGAAGTCAAACTGAAAAATGTAAAAAAAAAAAAAAAAAAAGCCCCACAACAAAAAACCTACAGTACACTGAAGAAAACACACAGAACACACTTTTGAGTGTATTTAGGGCCTTTTAAACTGAATTTGTTTTAAATTATCTTATTGTGAACTACCATTTATATCTTTCCCACTATGTCATATGTGAAGTTTGAGAACACTGATGATGAAAAAGAAAATACTACCTAGAATCAGAGCACCTCAAGTTGGAAAGGACTCACAAGGCTTTGAGTCCACCTCTCGGCTCCACCCAGGACCACCCAAAATCCAAACCCTAGGTCTGAGGGCATTGTCCAAACACCTCTTGAACTCTGGCAGCTTGGTGCCACCCTCTGGTGCAAAGCTTTCCCTAACAGCCCCTGCCCCAGCTCCGTGCTGTTCCCTCTGGCCCTGCTGCTGTCACAGAGCTCACTGCTGGCCCCTCTGCCCCCAGTGCAGAGCTGTGGGCTGCCACGAGATGGACTGAACTGCTGCTGCACTTCTGCTACAGCGCTGTTTTCTGAGGTTTTTCCAGTCTAGCTTTGGGTATCAAGTAACCAGCAGCACAAAGATTTCTTTGTAAGCTCATCTCACAGAGCTCTCCCCTCAGGATATTTCTAACATTTCCAGCCTATATTTATTTTTCCTTGACTCTACTCAATTGCTCCTAATTATTTACTCAGGACAATTTCTGTTTCTAGTGTTTACACACTTCAAATGCTTTCACTATTATATCACTCACTTACTCTGCCAACCTTCCATTATTTTATTTTAAATCTTCTTTCAAATAAAATCTGCAAAGTCCTTTACGTGCACAGCTTAATTATTTTTAAGGACATAAAACAACAAACAGCACATTGTGTCACTTAAAAACTTAATCAGACATACAAAAAGAGCCCTGAGCATTTTGCTCTTACAGCAAGAGTCTGCCACCTAGTGGAATACTGCGACCTTCAACCTGAGTTCATCGAGGACAACCCTTCTGCACATGAAATTCTTCAACAGATATTATTTGCATTATCTATTACTATTAAAATGGAAATAGGAACTTATCTTTTGCCTCTAAAGTAAGAACTTCAACGTTTCAGCTTTCACACAAAGATGAGAGCTGCTTAAGAGGATTCTTCTGAGTGTTCTTTGGTTATCCCTCAAAGATTTTAAAAGTTGCGTTTGCAGTGCCTGATTGCTTTAGAAAAGGGTCATTCATAAAGCACCTCTGAAAGCCAAGGGCAATGGAAGAATTCTCTCTTCATACCACTGAGGTTTTTCATCCACCTTTCTGCAACACCACTTCTTTTACACCACAAATGAATAACTGGACACAGTTACAACAGAGCAGCCTGCTAAACCACTTCTACAGCCATACAGAAAGAATCCTTTAGCATAGAGACAGGAAACAGTATTATTATGGGTTCCCCACAGCCTCCCTGCAGTCAACAATAAACTAGGATAAGTAATCAGGCAACAAACAATCACTTGAAAAGAATAGCAGGATGACTTTACTGAATAGAAAGCTGAGTGAGAATTAAGAAATACTACTGCTTTCAGAGAACAAGATTTTGTTGTACTTACGTTCTTTGTCCTTCTCAACCAGAGATGTAGGTGGTGCAATTGCAGCTCCTCCCATACCTATGAGTAAAATGGAAGAGAACATGTTTGTGTCATTATGTTCCGCTGCTTGGAATAGCTGCACTGAGGTGTAACACAGCTGCTGGCTCCAAAAGCAGCAGCAAGAGTGTGAGCAATATGAATGAAAAGCACATCAAAGAAGATCACACTGCAGTCACGTGCTGCATGTTGTTTCCAGAGTCAATATATTGCACAGAATTTCAAAAGTAAAGGCTACAAGGGAAGCAAACCTTCAATCCTAAAACAGTTCAATTAAGCCAATACTCTGCTCAAGTTTGACTACACTTACATAAGAGAATGGTACAAAGCCCCTTCCCTATTTTAATATGCAGCATTTTAAGGTAGTCACTGACTTCCAAGGCAGAGCCAGTATTTTCCATGCCCGTGTCAGAAATTTACTTTTCTAAAATAAATCAGACCTGAATTATTCACTCAAATGGTTGTTGTTGAGAAGAATGAAGTTTCATTTTGTTTGTGCTAAGGTATCATCCCAGCACGTATTTTGCTAACTAGTTCTAAGAGCATTCAAATCACCAGCAATGGTAAGCACCAGTAGCTAAAGCTCAACAGTGATTCTCGTGGCTTCATTTTATTCCACGCTTTCCTTCTCTCCTGGAATTCCACACCGTGCATAAAGGTAAAATAGGTACTGACAAACCAGTGGAAAGCCACAAATAATTGAGAATGTACCTCCTCCAAGGAAAAAAAGAACAAACTGTATTAAAATAGTGATAATGTAATAAAATAATGGGTTTACTCCAATGGCTCGAATGTTAACAGTATGCCTCTCAGCTAAGAGAAATACAAAATACATTAAACCAGGACTGTGACCGTATCCTCCTCCTCCCTGCATTTTTCTCCTATTAAGAAAATAAACAGCTCTCTTACTTCTTTTTCTTCTCTCCCTTTCATAATCTTCATCTTCATCAGAATCTGGATCTGGTCTTCTTGAAAACCCACTGGCTTCATGTCTGTCTTTACGTCTTCTAGGAGACACAGCAAGTTAGGATAAGAAACAATTCAAGTCTGCTTTAACTCATGATACTGCCTTTGCCATGTGAATTTAATGGCATTTGGCCAATCAGATTAGCATTTTATAATGTGTTTTCCATGAAAGTGAAAGTAAACACCCTTTCAGGTTTTTTTTGTTGTTGCTGGTTTGCTTTCATCCTTTTTTTTTTTTTTTGTAAAATAGAAAATGGATTCAAAACAAGATTGTTTTCCACCTGCAAATCAATCAAGGATAAAGTATGGAAATGAAGAAGCCTATGAATAAATGTAGCCCAAGCTGATGACACTCACTGACAGACTATAATGGGAGAGGTGCTGGATGCAAGCAACAGCAAGGTAGCAGAGACATGAATTAATCACCCTGCATTGAAGAGAAATTCAAATTTCAAATTCCTTTCAAATTCCCCACCAAAGGCTATCTGAAGCAGTATTTAATCAGTCAGTTTTTAATGAAAAAAAAAAAATCCTCATGCTTAAACAGTGTAATTCCACAGACTTTATGATTCGTACTACGATGAAAATGCTTATTAGTTTCACTTAGAATAAGCAAATGTAATCTTATTTCCTGGCTGGCAGATGTCTTACCACCTATTTCAACAGAACTTTGAATCTGCATTCAACCTTTAATAAGATTAAAGAGATTTCTTATTCCACAGAAAAAGCACTGAGCTACTTAAAGATTTCTTTTGGCCAGAAACAAAAGAGAAATAAATACAGAAAGTATGCTTCAACTGAATGCAGAACATGAAGTAACTGGCAACTATGCTTCATAAAGGCAGTGCTAGCTATGCCTTTAAAACTGGAATGAATTCACAGGTCAGTGTGAAGTACATGAAAAGAGAAAAGATGATTTATCTCTGAGTGTTGAAAGCATTTCTGATGTCAGGTTTTACTGACATGAAACACTTCAAAAACAATCTTATTTGCTAAACCTGAAGAAATTTCCTGACACTCTTCAGGGGGATAAAACCAAACAGACGTACATTTAACAGCCTATTCTTCACCTAACTGCCAACTCGCCATACATTAATGCCTTACTTTTCTCTCTCTTCTATTTCCTTTTGCCTCTCCAGCTCACGCTGCCTCTGTCGTTCCTCTCTTTGCCGCTTCACCACTTTTTCATAGTCATTTGGAAACATGGGATCATACTCATCTGCCAGAGGAATCAATACATCTCCTGCAGAAAAACCACTAGGTACGGGATCCTTGGAAGAGAAAAAGGAGAACAGGGACGTTTGTCAGCTGACATCATAGAATCACAGTCCTGGGCAACCTGTTTCACGTGTCCTTGCTTGAGTAGAGCTGTTGGACCAGATGGCCTCCAAAGGTTCCTTCCAATCACAGCTGTATCACTGTGATAACCATTTGTATCATTACACAAGGCCAGTTCCAACACTGGTGCAATTACAATTACCTTCATTATTTACCTGACCAAATCACCATTTTGCAAAGTATTTTGAAGCTGTCCAGAAGAGATATGATAAGAGCAATGCTTTATTTTAATTGTACATTCAACAGGATGCTTTCATGTTGTACAGAATCATAGAATCACTAGAATGACTCAGGTTGGAAAAGACCTTAAAGATCATTGAGTCCAACCACGACCTAACCATACTACCCTAAAATTAGCATCACATAGAAATCTGTAAAAAGCTGAAATGCTCATTAATTTAAGAACCTGTGAGTTGAGATTCCAATTCTGGAAAACAATCGGTTCTTTTAGCACTCAGAAAGACCATTTAAAAATAAAATGCAGATGGCTGCCAAAACATTCCAATTCAGAGACATCTGTTAGCTGATGGAGCCTATCTGCTTCTTTAGTTAATGGTTCTTACCTTTAACCCAGCTGCTACATGAGGCGGTGTGTCCACGATCTGTCTTTCATCAGAAGAACTCCCTCGCTTCAGGTCAATCACTGGAGCAAGTACTGTTGTCTGCTTGGTTCTCTGACTCTGAAAAATGGCCAAAACATAAAATGCCTAAAAAAGCTACAAAAACCATTTTTTATCTTTTGTTTCCTTTCTATAAGATAACAAAATAGCACACTTTCCTCTTTTTAAGCAAGAGAGACTTTGCTTGTGCATGCACTAAAACACACAACTAAAATTCACAGATAAGTGAATGCTTTGCACCAGGTTGAAAAGCACACATTAGAAGCTCAGGGGATCTCTTCAGATCAGGTTGAACCTAGCAGATTTTTTTCAAGAAGGGTCTTAAACCTATTCTGAACACATGCTTTACCATCCAGTAAAACATATTGATGTATATTCTCCATTTTTCAAACTTGCTCTGTTTTATTACTGCTGTTCTATTTCATAGAATCACAGAATGGCCTGGGTTGAAAAGATCCACAATGATCATGGAGTTTCAACCCCCTGCTATGTGCAGGGTCGCCAACCACCAGACCAGGCTGCCCAAAGCCACATCCAGCCTGGGTATTTGCACACATACAGACAAAGAAAATACCTAACACAGCAGCCATTTCAAATTTCATTCCCACACACTGCTCCAACTAACAGCAAAATCCTGCTGTCGATTTTAGCAGCGTAAATCAGCATTAATTCAACTGAAAAATTGCCATGTCTCAGTAATCATTTCCTATCTGTACCAGTATTTAAGTAACCTCACTCTAGACCTTACAGATCACAACGAATGTACACATATCCTGCATGAATCAAAGCAGAATAACAGTACTGTGTAAAGCCATGAGATGAAATACTGTCACAATAAAAGAGCAGAAAACAGCTCTGTTGCAATTTAAGCTCAAGGAATTGGCTTGCACTACTTCTCCCTTCCATGCACACGCAGTTTCTCTAAGAATTTCTAATACACAATGATTTGTACTTTAGCACCTAAGGCCCTTCAAGCAGAAAGCATAAATCGATGCAGATATATAAGTAATAACTCTATAAAGAATGACCAGAATAAGCAGCACTGACAACTTTCAAGAGCAGCACAATCTTTACTTACACTTTAAACAAGAAAAAAAATAATTAACCTCATTATCTTCAATGTTAAATGTGAAGATCAGCTTTTGGCTCAAGTAGTAACAAGATTTGAGGCTCACAGCAAACACCAATTCTTTGTTAATTTTCATCTTGCCATACTTCCTTGAACAGACCTGAAGGAAATGCATCTTTTGTGCCTCCCACCTGTTTTGTGAGGCCCCTTGCTAGAAACCCACAGACAACAGGACAAAATCACCTCAAATCTGTATTATAAGGTCATGAACTCTCAATGATCTGAGCATGAAAGAATATTTAACAACAGGAAGCAAAATTAGGAAGAGCCCATACCTTTGCTTGAGTCAAAGCTGCCTTCTTCACCTGCAATTGAGACTGTAGTAGTTTGAAGTTTTTAGACCAGCCTTCTGTTTTGGAATCGCTGGTCTCAACTCCCAAGTCATCGTAAAGTGACATTTTTTCTTCAATTTAAAACTGGAAAACAACAACAAAAGGTAAATCAGATGATGCCACTATGCCCAGTGCCTAGCTGCTGCTATTTCGGGTACGCCTGGTCTTGTAGCCTTTAAATTTTAAATATCCTTTTTTTTTTTTTTTCCAAGCCAGAGAGAATTCCAAGCGATAACACTGTTGGTTTTTGGGTTTTTTTTTGCTGCACAGTAGCAGACATACAGGACCTACAAGTAAGACTGTGCAAAAACAACCACTTCAAAGGCAATGAGTACTCTTCAAAAGTTGATAGGTGTTAAAAACATCCTAAGTTTACACTTCCAGCCGTATATATCAATCATTTCAAGCTCTGAAGTTGCACTGTAACCCAGACCAATATTTGGAGATTTACAATGAAATTCAACATCAACTGCATCACAATCCTCAAAACCTCCAGATCCAGACAGAATTATTCTCTGTTGATGTTAAAATTGATATGCACAAACATACCAACACTTCATTCACCTGCTTAAATACTGCTACTTTTTTGCTTCCCTGCACATTCAAAAAGGGTATCTTACTGTAATTCTATTTGCCAGAGTATTTTCACAACACTTAAAGGCCTTGCAAATACACAGACATACATTTATACAAAATTAGCAAAACAACATCAGCAGCAACGCAAAATGAAATATATCACCTTGTGTGTTGCTTCATCTAGCATGAAAGGCAGAAAGAAAAATGTGAATATAAAGAGAAATCCACCACCTGTGGAATAACCTGTAAGGCCATTATTTTGTCTCAATGAGGCCTGGACTATAGTCCCTTCAGCGAAGAGCTTCAGTTTGTTAATTTACTGCAATATTACTGATGAACAGATTGCAGTGAAATCCTACAGATTCATCAGCAAGATCTTGCTTTCACAGATCTGACAGGGAACTCAGCATAGGTGTTCTTTGCTAAAGATATATCTGAGATGCATTTAAACTTAGGGGAAAAGTCTCAGGTAGAGCTGACAGCAAGCCCCAAAGGGGTCACACTCAGCAAAAATAAAATGCAAACAAATGAGGTTTTATCTTGCAGTGGAATAGGAACAGCCAGGGCTTGGTAGAACAGAGTTCACTGCAAGATACTGGAGAAGACAGGATTATTGCACGAGGAGCACCATACATACAGGAACACAGCACAAGGGAACAAGATGTGGGCAGGGTGAGAACAAGGTTAGAATACAAATTCCTGACTGCTGCAGGGAAGTGCAGTCTGAATCACAGAATGGCTTGGGTTGGAAGGATCAAGTTCCAACCCCCTACCACAGGCAGGGCCACCACACAGATCTGGTATTAGACCAGGCTGCCTAAGCCCCATCCAACCTGGCCTCCAACACCTCCGGGGACGGAGCATCCACAGCCTCTCTAGGCAGCCTGTTCCAGCACCTCACTGCTCTCTGTAAAGAAACTCCCCCAAATGCCCAATCTAAACCTTCCCTTCCTCAGCTTAAAACCATTCCCCCTTGTCCTATCACTGTCTACACCAGTGAAGCAGGAGTTCTGCTACTCCGGGGCAGATAGCACACACCTGGGGTACGTTACTGGACAAGTATAAACAGACAGGACTTTGCACCTCCAATTTGAAGGGGATGGGCTGCAGCACACCGGGGGCCGAGGCAGCAAACACAGAGCCTGTAACCAGCCACGCACAGCCTGCCCCGCAGGCGGGCAGAGGGCCGAGGCCGTGAGGCACACAGGCCGCGCAGCGGGGCTGAGGGGCCCGACCCCCCCCCACGCTAGGCCTTCGCCCCTCTGAGAGGAGCAACCCGCGGCAGAGGACCCGCTCTTACCCCACCCACCTCTATGCCTTCCCTACCCGCACCCTCGGGACGCGGAGCAGGTTTCCCAAGCGGGGTGTGCCGGCCAAGGCCAGCCGCCCGCTGCTCACCCGTCACCGCGCCGCCGCCATGAGCCGGCCGCTGAGGCAGCCGGGAACGAGTCCCCCTCACGGCGTCTGCGCCTGCGCGCTGCCGCCCGTTCCGCTCGGCCAATGGGGAGCCGACCGCACCGCGGCGGCGCCGCCGTTGTAGCGCCCCCTGGCGGCTGGAGGAGGGAGAAGCATCCCTCGCCTCGCAGAATGGCCAAGGTTGGAAGGGACCTCAAGGATCAGGAATCTCCAAACCCCCTGCCTCACGCAGGGCCACCGAACTCCACATTTAATACTAGACCAGGCTGCCCAGGGCCCCATCCAGTCTGGCCTTGAGCACCTCCAGGGATGGACGGGGCATCCACAACCTCTATGGGCAGCCTGTTCCAGCACCTCACCACTCATAGTAAAGAATTTCTCCTTGACATCCAATCTACATCTTTCCTCGCTCAACTTCAAACCATTTCCCCTTGTCCTGCATTATCTACCCCTTCCAAGACTTGATTCCCCTCCTGTTTGTAGGCTCCCTTTAGGTACTGAAAGGCTGCAATGAGGTCACCCTGCAGCCGCCTTTTCTCTGGGCTGAACAAGCCCCGCTCCCTCAGCCTGCCTTCGTAGGGGAGGTGCTCCAGTCCCCTGATCATCTTCGTGGCTCTGCTCTGGCCCTCTCCAACAGCTCCCTGTCCTTCCTGTACTGGGGGCTCCAGACCTGGACACAGTACTCCAGATGGGGCCTCACAAGAGCAGAGCAGAGGGGGACAGTCACCTCCCTGTCCCTGCTGGTCACCCCTCTGCTGATGGAGCCCAGGATACCATTTGCTTTCCAACTGCAAGAGCACACTGCTGGCTCATGTTAAGCTTTTCATCCATCAGGACCCCCAGGTCCTTCTGTGCAGGCTTCTCTGCCTCCATCTTCCCCTCCCAGTTTCGCCCCAGCATACACCAGTACGGAGTGACCCCTCCAGAGACAACCTCAGTCCTGTCTCCTCCCATCGCTGTGGCGTTGGGGAGGCTGCTTTCTGATGCAGGAGGAGTCGCTGCCATTCCTGACATCCCTCTGCAACCAGAAGCCTGACAGTAGAGCCCACTCCCACCAACCGGAGTGTCCCCAGTGCAAAATCCTACACAGACAGAAATGAAACGGTGTTTCTGGGGCTTCTGGCATGGCCAGGGCACTTGGTTAGGACTGCCCAGTGATGTTTTCTGGAAACAATCGAGCATGGAGTGATAGTCCCTGCAATTTCACAATATGCCATTGACTCTTTTCGGAGCCACGCTGAAGTTTGAAGTGGAATTAGGAATTCGGTCGGCAGAGGGCAGGGCTGCATTCGTTCCCAGTGCGAGCTGTGTTTCCCCGTACGTGGTACCACATTTCTCCATCCTAATTTCTTAAAAGATCTGTGGTAGCTTACGGAGTGAATGATCTGTCTGAGTGGGCATTCAGCTCACCTCCAAACCTTCCACTCGTTATTCAGGGCCTTCATTTTGACTGTTGGCTTATAGCGGGCAAATGGATCTCCAGCCCATAAAAGACAGTTTCAAATCAGATGAGGTGAGATTTCTAAGAACTGCAGCCACTCGCACCACATGACAAAGTGGTGGAAATAGATAAACACACAGTCCTGTCTGCAGAAGAAAGCAAAACACCAAAGCGAATATTGTCACTTCGTCCTCAAAATACTGCGTGCACTATCTATCTCTTTATTGATCAGAAAGCCCTTATCTCCAGTACTGCTTTCATCTGTGATACTGTGCAACCTATTTCCTTATGGTTAGATGAAAAAGTAATGCCAGAGAGTAAGGCTGCTGCTTTGAGAAGAGCTGTTTCCAAGTTCTGGACTCTTCCCCTGCTATTTCTGCTGTCCCCTGCTGAGCAAACCTTTCTAGGCAGTGCATTTCCAGATGGATCTATTTTAATAATAGCAGTGAAAGTGAGAAATAAAATGCTCTTCAGTTTATTTAACGCATCTCCCAAGCGGTTTTTTTTTTAGGATTTGGACTAGATGGCCTTCAGAGGTTCCTTCCAACTCTAAGGATTCTATGATTCTATGATTTAGGAGGAAATTTTTCACTCAGACGGTAGTGACACACTGGAACAGGTTGTGCAAGGAGGTTGTGGATGCCCCATCCCTGGAATGATTCAAGGCCAGGCTGGATGTGGCTCTGGGCAGCCTGGTGGTTGGCGACCCTGCACATAGAAGGGGGGTTTGAAACTAGATGATCATTGTAGTCCTTTTCAACCCAGGCCATTCTATGATTCTATGGTTCTATGGTTCTATGATTCTATGATTCTATGATTTCCCCTTGCCCTAGAAGTGCCTGCATTTTTAAAGGAAGGAAATGATATGAAGCACATTTCTATAGCTCTGTGAAAGAAAGAAAATCAGCAGGATACTTGAATGCTGATTTTACAGAGACAGAATCCCATTGAGAAAAGACTGGCATCCTATGTTAAAGGAAGGAATCCAATGGTTAATTGCATCAAAAGGTACTGAGAAGAATCACTGTAGATTGAAACACTGCACCAAAACAGCATAGCACAATATCATAGCATGAAAATCATCAGGAAGGGATTAGAGTGTGCAAAGGTAGAAAATGCAATCATAGTGGGAAATTTCAATTCATGCTAGGCAGCCTGGGAACAAGTCACAACAGGGAGGGTAACGATTGAATTATTAGACCTATAAATAACTGCCTACTAAAGCAATGAATCAGATAAATCGCTAGAGAAACAAGTCTTGGTTAAGTAAGTCTGGAAAGTGCATCTGATGTGGATCAAAATGTATCTGTCCCTCTTTGCAGGAATACCCACAATATACTTGTATGCACCTGCATAGGAGATGGGCAGATGACAAAATCCTTGTTAATTTCAGGAAAGCATGGAGCAACTGCAGGCAGGTAAAGGAATCTCAGCACGCTGCAAAGTGTAGAGGTCCCCACGTAGAGAGGTTACAGGCGGGAGCAAAAAGTGATGGAGAGACAGTGGAATCAGCCAGAAGCTGAAAGCACAAAGTTGCAGAAGGATGGCATAGAGCTGGCTGGGTGATGAGATGGCAGATGGGACCCAATGTTAATGAATGCAAAGCAATGCACGCAAGAGAAAATAGCACTGACAAAACACACACAGCGGCAGGCTCTAAATCAGCTGCTGCCTTTGAAGGGATGCTGCATTCATTGTGGATAATTTGCTAGAAATGCCAACTCAGTGCTCTGAGGGAGGCAAGAAAGCAAACAGGCTGCTGGAAAT